CCCTGAAACCCTGAAACCCTAGAGATGAGAGAGGAGAGAGAGAGAGCCGCATACATACAACAAGCGAAACCCTCAGTATGATGATGAAACAACACTGTCTACTGCAGCGACAAAAAACTAAAAGGTTTTTATAAGATAAAGGTAAATATATACATTCAGAAAATATAAAAAAACGCAGAGACAAAGAGCAATATATATATATCAGACACAGTCGTAGTATACAAAAAGAAGAACAAGCGGCACCACAACCCATGAGGGTGTGTTTGGGGTCCTCAATGGTGCTGTTTGGTGGAGGGCGAGGCCGTAAATATAATATAAAGAAAGAGAAGAGATAAACTGTCTAAAAAAATGAATAAAAAAGAAAGAAAACTGCTGCTGCTGCAGCCGCAAGAGGTATTCAAGTTGCTGTGAATGATGGGCATAGGCGAGGAGGGAAGAGAAGGACGACACCGGCGCACAAATATATTAAAATAAAACAGAAAGAGGAAATAAGAAGTGCAAATTAACAAAATATAATACGATAAAATTATACAGTGGATTCTCTCTCGTCAGACATTCGGCGTGAATCAACAATGATGAGCTGGCGGCCAAAGATCGGTTTCAGGCTCTCCCCGCCCCTCGTTTTGCTCCAGGCACAACAAAAAGGGTTTTTAAAACAAAAAAAATATAAAAATCAAGCCATAAATCCACGAAAATAACCGGGAACATGAGTAATCAAGCATCATCGCGCCTTGCCGCCTTCGAACCCACACCACGATGTGGCGGGCCAACAGAAGCTCACCGATGCAAATCCGGAGCAGAACACCTTTTTATATGTGGAAATCTTTGAATAAAAACTCCCCGGGTTTCCGAAAAGTACCTTAAAGCCTTATTTTGAGCCCTGATCAGCCACCTTTGCACCGCCCCAGGTGTGACAAGCAGCACAGCAGCATGACCATACATGAAACAACTCTACAACAGCCCGCAGCAGCCACGACGCCAAATCTCAACCAGCTAGCTGTATGCAAATTCAAACTTCTATATCTTCTTATTTTGTGAAATAAATATTAATTGTAAATAAATTAAATCAATTCCTCAATGCCTGATTCCTAGCTTTCTGCTCCCGCTTCCACCGCGGCATTCGTAACGAGTCCTCGACACTAGCCGAGGACCGCGGCGAGCTACAGCAGCATCTAAATCTGAATAAAATTATAATTNCGAGTCCTCGACACTAGCCGAGGACCGCGGCGAGCTACAGCAGCATCTAAATCTGAATAAAATTATAATTTATAATAGCATATTATGAGTTTCTCTCTAGTCTCCATGCGTACTGGGCACAGCAGCTCAAGACCTTAGACGGGTGCGGAGAAAAACAGGGGCCTCTCACGAGTTTCAGGGCCTGCAGCACACGTTGCTGCAACAGCTCCTAGGGGGCAGCAAGAGACTAAACCAAGCACGTATCCTCTTCACATACATGGGTCTACACCGTAGATAGTTGGTAAACATAGCTGTACTAGACAGTAGCCAGCAGAAGCAAGTAATCATGCGTTTACTGAGGTCACACACACAGACAATTCTGCATCCAGCGCCAACAAACTGGGATCAGAGATAGTTGCTTTCGTGCAGATTGAAGATATGGGAAATGTTTGGTACACAACTGCAGCGTTTCTAGTTGAAACCGTTTCCTACAAACGGAGGAATCAATCCACGCTGACTAAGCTCTCTCGCTAGATACTCGCAAGGGCTCCACAACAGTGCGTCTGCTGAATTCAGTTTGATCGCTTTGGGCAAGACCGTCTGCATCGGCCGTCTTCTCGTAAACATTAATCCTCGTTGTGAAGCCACGCCAGACGACGCCAACCAGCTTCGGGTCCCTCTCAGCAATGACCCTTTCCGAAGGAGCATAGAGCTTTCAGAGCTGGTTAGTAAACAATTGAAAACAATTGAGAAAGTCTACTGTAACTCAACTAGTACACGCAATTAACTTGGTAGGCTGGATGATCAGATCCACGACAGTTTAGATGCATTCACAGCTCATGACTTACAGAAAGCCAATTATGAAATATTTTAAGGCATTCTATAAAGAACTGGAAGAGTTTGCAGGTGCACCGGTTTGAGATTGTTTCGCAGCTACTGTCAAGCAGATCTCGGATAAATGAGGACACTCGGCTGAAGGGAGCATCGTAGAGCACGCAGAGTACCTGTCTACGCCCTCCACTGATGCGTTGACCAAAAGTTGGGCTGTTAAAGCATGAGGGCACGTCTAGAGCAACATCTCTGTTCAAATCAAAAGTGAAACGCATAGTTGGAGGAGCTGAATATTTGGATGGTACCACAAGAGTCCGCCGTCTATGTTGTAGTGCTTATCCCGTCGCCCCCCGTTCAGCCCGCATGAGTACCTCAGGAATGAGATGAGCGCAGTTGAGAGAGAGACCGACAATACACAGAGACACGCACAGTTGCAGAAAACTGTTACTGAACTGTGACGCTTCAGAAGAGATCACCAAAGAACATATTGGTGATACCCTTGATGCGCTTGACTGCGGAGTGGCACTTTCATCATCGCAGTCGTCAAAACCCTTGCTCAGATGTTTCGGAAATTGTTGAGCAGTTTGGACTCTGAAATGCCCGACCTGTGTTTACGGGTTTATACCCTGCACCAGGCCCTGTGGAGCACCTTCTCACATACAGGTGTTTCGGCTCTCTTTTCGTGAAAAGCTTTAAGAAACAGGGGAATATTTAGTTCTCTGCCGAGTCCTTTGTTCTGTGTGAGAGTATCGCACCAACTGAAATATCACTGGCACCGGTTCTCCGAAATGGAGAGCAGTAGAAAGGAGGGACCGCAAGAATTAGTGGCGATGCCGTGGGTGTGATGACGCTTCCAGCGGTTTCGTCTTCATTCTCCATCCAAACAAGCTCTGTTTTTGTATTGGACCACTTGATGTATGGCCATGAGGGCAAATCCAGCTATGAAGTTAAGTTAAAGTTCATATCCCCAGCTTTGCTCTCGGACCGATGACCCCCTGAATGTTCTCGTAGAGGCAACTTGCAAACGCCTACTATCTTTGCCATATCGGCTTCTCCTCCCGGCTCAGAGGCGTGAAATGCCGAAGAGCTAAATGTCCGCATGCAAGACGAATGCTTGGCGTCTTTGAGAAAACCTGCACCTCGTGTATCAGTTAGAAAGCACGAAGCGGGGGCTGCAGGGGCTCTTCTGCATTCCCTCTGAGGCTACGCAGGCCGTTCATGTTTATAGCTATTTATTCCCCATCGTTGATGGTAGCATATCTCTACTGTGTTGCAGCCACCGTGGCTTCTTGCAGCATCCATATACCACAAATCATCAGGGCTGCCTCAGATGCACGCTCTCAGTAGAAGAGGTAGCGTCGGCGGAGTTGAGGGTTGTGCTGGGGCCCCCCTGACAATAGCGAACGTGGCTTATATTTCTCATATACGCTTTAGTCTGTACATCTGCACGATGATGCAGCTGCTGCTTAGCGAAGCGCTTGCTGCTTCGGCTGCCTCACCGCACTGTTACTCAAGGCAGCCTTAGTGGAGACGCTGAGAACCCCGGGGGAAGTTCATCTCTTGGCTGTCTCGCAGGCACAGGTTTAGGGTTTAGGGTTTAGGGTTTAGGGTTTTAGGGTTTAGGGTTTAGGGTTTAGGGTTTTAGGGTTTAGGGTTTAGGGTTTAGGGTTTCAGTTGCATATACAGTACTCCTATCGCAAGTAATCACCGCGATCTTCAGCTAATATTGGCTAAGAGAAAAATTCTGTTCCTAGGCTCTGAGAGACCCCGTTAGTGCCGAGAGAAGATAAACATAAACTAAGATGAAAATAAATATTTTTTATTTATTCAGATATTGCAAAATACAACAGTTTATACAGAATGCAGCCTGGGGGGGGAATAATGTTGTATAGTGTTGCAGGGGAGACAGACACTGCTGCGGGGACCTTAACCTTCGCCGGATGATGAAAATAATTTAATTGTTTAGTATATGAAAACCTCTATTATTTCACAGAAAACTCACATATATTTATATATATTTGTTTATAGATGACCTCTGATCTATCGGGGGCCCCCTTGCAGCTCCGAAGCGGCGCAGCGCCGCCGGAAGGCAAAGCATGGTGTGTGGGGCTATGGGGGCAAATAAGTTGTTGTGTGAGTTGAAATAATGTGTTAAATTTGATGAAATAAATACATTTAATATTTTAAATAGAACGTCTGTACAGCTGCTTTCTTCCTATTGTTCGCTGCGTTGTGCTACTGGGGCTCTCGCGCTGTCTGCCACGGAGCTGCAAGTAGTGTCCGCGGTGGCGTTGGTGTAGTTGTTGTTTTGTTTTGTTTGTTTTCTTTTCGACGAATCTGCATGCAAAGTATTATAATATTGTGAAATGCATGCATAATTCACAATAAAAAGGGCAATTAAACCAACAAAACAAATCCATCACCTCAGCATACACCTCAGGTTTCCGAGTATGTTGCCGCACGCTTCTTCAGTTGCCCGCCTTCTGTCGCGGCTTCCTTTTAGTGGTTTTGTTCGTGGTTGTAATTCTATTTCTTCTTTTCCTTCTTTATCTCTTTCTTCTTCTTTAAATACAGCGCATGCAGCAACCAACAAACGCCACTTTGCACACGGGGCTGGCACGGACCTCACCGTCGCCTGCCGCACGTCTACAACTCCACGCAAAGATGATGGCCCCACCACCCGAATGAACCTCTTCACCGCCATCAACTCGGCTATGCACATCGCCTTGGAAACCGATCCCACGTGCGCAAGTCGATACCAGCTGCATGCCACCTCCTGCTGCTACAGCAGCAGCAGCAGCAGCAGATCGTATATATATATATATATATATATATATA